GGCCCTTGTGGTCTCTTCCAACTCTATGATTCTATGATTCTATAAAGGACCCTGGGATCTGTAGCTTGGTGAGATACTGAGAATTCTCTGCTGTAGAACTATCATAGTTGTCATCCTTCAGCTTCCCAGATTCTTTAGTCTTTAACTCCAAATGTCTCAACAGCATAGCCAATGATGAGAAAATCTGATACAGTGCACCTGCCCCAACCACAGGCTTATCATTCATGGATCTGAGCCTCCAGGGACAACAACCACATTGGTATCAATGGCCGCGCATACATGCAGCCCCAGGAGAATGGACGTACATAGTACACCACTACTGAATACTGCAGGACATGAGGCCCTGGATCTTTGCCCTATGAGGTATCCAAGTTGAGGTCCTGCAGTTTTTGCCACTGGCATGGGGATTCAGAATGGAACCCCCACAGATAAGAAGAGCCCACTTCAATCCCAAAATCTGGAGGACCAAGGTTTGAGAGCTACTGCTGTAGTTAAATCCTCCTGAACTACAAGTACTCTCTAACATGTAATTCTAAATATTCCCAAAAACTACAAACCACAATATTTTTTAGGCTGGAGCAATGACAGTAGTAACTGTGTAATTCAGATATAGGCCATGATCAGGCATCATCAGATGTGATGATCAAGCTCCATCATTGTAGCTATGTCATCCACAAAATCTCCCTCTTCAGTCAGGGAGTATGCCATCTAAAAAGATTCCAGGGTGCTGCAATTTGAGATGCAGTGAAATGATGTCTGCGGCACTGTCCCAGTCATGGGTGCACTGAGAACAGGTAACTGGAGACACCTTCAGGATCTTGCTGCAACTAATAATAATAATAATAATAATAATTTATATCCTGCTTATTGGCAAACAATCCAAGCGGCTTACAATAAAACCCATATAACATATTTCAAAAAAGACCCACCCCCTTAAAACAGTATTAAATGATTCATAGTTAAAATAGCAATAGGATAAAGAAGAACATAACAGTAAAAACATATAACAACATTAAAACAGATTACAATATCCTCATCAACCTCTACTGCATTCCTCATCCATCAGCTACCGATGGAGCCACGAGAGGAACACAGGAGTCGAGGAACCCAAGGCCGGGATGTTTAATCTGGAAAGGCCTGCCGGAAGAGATCCGTCTTGACAGCTTTTTTAAAGCTGTGTGATGATGTCAACTGACGGATCTCGTCCAGCAGGTCATTCCAGAGTTTAGGGGCGACAACAGAAAAGGCCCTCTGGGAGGTTGCTGCAAGCCTAGATTTTTGAGGCTGCAGCAAATTCCTCCCAGAGGATCGGAGAGCGCAGGGAGGATTATATGGAAGGAGGCGTTCCCTGAGATAGCTTGGACCCAAGCCATTTAGGGCTTTAAAGGTAATAACCAACACCTTGTACTGGGCCCGGAAGCTAATAGGCAGCCAGTGGAGGGACTTCAAAACTGGAGTGATGTAGTCCCTCCGAGATGTTCCAGATACAAGCCTGGCTGCCATATTTTGAACTAACCGAAGCTTCCGAATCAA